GATGAATACCCACCATTTGCTTCGACATGGATGGAACTAGAGGGTATTATGCTAAGTGAAACAAGTCAATTGGAGGATAATTATCATATGGTTTCATTCATATATGGAATATAAGAAATACTGAAAGGGATTATAAGGGAAAGAGGGAAACTGACTGGGGAAAAATTAGAGAGGAAGACAAACCATGAGAGACCCCTAACTCTGGGAAACAAATAAAGGATTGTGGAAAGGGAGGTGGGTGGGGGGATGGGGTAACTGGGTGACAGGCACTGAGGAGGGCACTTGATGGGATGAGCACTGGGTGTTATACTATATGTTGGTAAATTGAATTTAAATAAAAATTTTTTAAAATAAAAAAAAATAGGAAAAAAATAAAGTACACCTCTTTAGCATGGCAATTAACACTTTTCATTATCTGGACCTTACCAACACTTTCAGTCTCATTTCCTACATGCAGATGTTAAAAAGTGGGGTCTTGTTTTATCTCTAAACTTTTGTCCATGTAGGTCCCCTGATACTAGTATTGTTTTAAACAGGCTAGTCATGGATTACTCCTAGTCACTGAGATTCAGCTCAGGTAGCAGCACTTCCCTCTACGTATTTTCTGAATACACCTTCTCCCAGACTACACTGAGAGTTACATCTGCACTCTCTACTGAAATATTAGGAAATGAAATTCCACAATAGATTAAAAAGCACTCACAATTTAATGAAGGGAAGAGATTCATAAATAGACATATATATGGCAACATATTTTGAGATAATTATGTGTGTTTTGCTCAAAGATTTTTGCTTCTCCCTCCCATTTCAAGAAGATAACCAGGCTTTTTTATTTTCCTTATCTCTCCCAAGAGGGCTCCTCCTCCCCTGTTGCCAAGACTAAAAGCAGTTCTGCACACAGACATACCTTCCTAGCTTCTGTATTGTCAAAACTCAAGCTCATAGGTGAGATTATGCTTAGGAGTGCCAATGCAGGTCTCAAGAAGACAGATGAAATTTCTTTTAGGGTATTCAGGAGGGAAAGGAACATAAGCTTTAAACAAAAGGAAAGAAGTCAGGGGAAGGGTAGGGGTTAGAGGTAGCAGGGAGAACAGCTCAACATTTGATGGTAGCAGCCTAGGAACAGGCGAAAGTTCAGAGGAATTTTAATGAGTGTGCTGGGCCTTAGACACAGGGGACCCAATCATAGCAATGGTTCAGTCCCCCAAGCATTGCATAGAAGCAGCAGCAGCAAACCTGAAAGGGCCATCCCTGGCTGAGACAAAAAGGGCCTCTCTAGTATTTTGGTCTCAGTATATTTGCATAACCTGGTAGGAGGTTCAAGTATTTTTTTAAAAAAGATTTTATTTATTTATTCATGAGAGGCAGAGACATAGGCAGAAGCAGGCTCCATGCAGGGAGCCCGGCATGGGACTCGATCCCTGGTCTGCAGGATCCCGCCCTGGGCCAAAGGCAGGCACTAAACCGCTAAGCCACCCAGGGATCCCCAGGAGGCTCAAGTATTAACTGAAATTGCATATCTTACATTCTTGACAGAATGCTGAGTACAGGGTAGCTTACAGGACTTATTATTATTATTATTATTATTATTATTTATGATAGTCATACATAGTGAGAGAGAGAGAGGCAGGGACACAGGCAGAGGGAGAAGCAGGCTCCATGCACCGGGAACCTGACGTGGGATTCGATCCCGGGTCTCCAGGATCGCGCCCTGAGCCAAAGGCAGGCGCCCCAACCGCTGCGCCACTCAGGGATCCCTACAGGACATATTAAAATGTGAAATTTCTTGCATACCAAAGTTGCAGACTAATTTCATATTAACTTCAGTTATAATAAGGTGTGGTAAATTCTAGGAGAGAGGAAAGCATTTAGAAGCACAGAGGAAAGCACTTAGAAGCACATCTACAAGAGGCTTGGTTTGGCTGCAGTGTAAGAGGTACTAGGTGTGCTTTCTGAGCCATATTAAAAAACTCTGGACTTAATACTGATGGTAGTAAGTGGTACTGACAGGAAACAGTATTGAGGAAAAGTACTGAAATAGAAGATTTCAAGGAAAAAGTATTAAAAAGCCAAGTGCCTCAGATGCCAACAGACATGGCATGGGGGAAAGTAAGACAAGAACTGCAATGTGTCTGCTGTACTTGGAAATAAGGAGTAATTAGTAATCAATTGAGTAGCTCAGTGGTTGAGCATCTGCCTTTGGCTCAGGTCATGATCCCAGGGTCTTGGGATCAATTCCCACATCCGGCTCCCTGCAGGGAGCCTGCTTCTCCCTCTGCCTATGTCTCTGCCTCTCTCTCTGTGGCTCTCATGAATAAATAAAAAAAATCTTAAGAAAACTCAAAAAAGGGCAGCCCAGGTGGCTCAGCGGTTTAGCACTGCCTTCAGCCCAGGGCCTGATATGATCCTGGGGACCTGGGATCCCTGCATGGAGCCTGCTTCTCCCTCTGCCTGTGTCTCTGCCTCTCCTTCTCACTCTCTCTGTGTCTCTCATGAATAAATAAATAAATAAATAAATAAATAAATAAATAAATAAATCTTTAAAAAAAAAGAATTAGCGATTTTGGTAAAGGTGGCTATATGTATGGACCACTTTTTTTTTTAATTTATTTATTTACGATAGTCACACAGAGAGAGAGACAGGCAGAAACACAGGCAGAGGGAGAAGCAGGCTCCATGCACCGGGAGCCCGATATGGGATTCGATCCCGGGTCTCCAGGATCGCGCCCTGAGCCAAAGGCAGGCGCCAAACCGCTGCGCCACCCAGGGATTTCTGTATGGACCACTTTTTATTGGAGCTTAGTTGTATGGGTTGTGCTAGTCTTGGTTGTACAGAGAAGGGTTAAGAAAATGTATCTTTTTTTTCTTTGCTGAGAAAAGAACCCATACAGAGGAAGAGACTAAAAGAAGTGAAAGGGAATAATGACATAAAGAGATCCATGAAAAAGCAAGAGGTCAGCATGTAATCTAAAACTAAAGTGGAAACACTGAATTTGGACAGAGACAAGAAAAAAGCATGGATGAAGACAAAAATTGATATGTCTATAAAAGATAGTGAGGTGGGTGCATAAGATGTTTGGGTGCACGTGATGGCATTTATTTTCTGTGTTTTCACAGAAAACAGGAGGAGGTAGGAGACAAGCTTACCTCCTGAAATTAAATATGTAGTAGCTGAATAGAAGGCTCAGAGGGAGAGCAGAAAGTTTGCAATAGCCACCAAAGAGGGTGTAAAAGAACTGAGGGAGGGGATCCCTGGGTGGCGCAGCGGTTTAGCGCCTGCCTTTGGCCCAGGGCGCGATCCTGGAGACCCAGGATCGAATCCCATATCGGGCTCCCGGTGGATGGAGCCTGCTTCTCCCTCTGCCTGTGTCTCTGTCTCTCAATCTCTCTCTCTCTCTCTGTGACTATCATAAATAAATAAATAAATAAATAAATAAATAAATAAATAAATAAATAAAAATAAAAAAAAGAACTGAGGGAAATCCAGATGACTCGGAGTAAAGACATGTAGAAGGATGCTCTGGTTAGTACCTATTCATTCTTCAGATTTCAGCTCAGATGTTGCTTGCTGAGAAAAGTTTAAATGAGGCCCCTGTTATGAGCTTTATGAGCACTATATTTCTATTAAAGACCTGTAATGGTTTTAACCTTATACTAACTTGTGGGATTATCAAGTTAATTTCTATTCCAACTTAACCAACTGAGCCACCTGGGTGCCCTCATTTTTAACATTTCTATTGCCTTTCACAACATTAGTAGTGATCAAGACATTTGGCTCATTTTACAGATAAAGAAACTAAAAGCAAGATTGTTTAGCCCTTAGTTTATTATTCTCTGCTCAAAATAATCATCATCATAATTTTATGCAATTTACCTAAGTCTTAAACTCTCTGAAGTTAATAAAATTTGCATAAAAAACAGCTGGTAAATCCCCTCTATTCATGTCACAGTTTCATATACCCTCATACATATTAAACAAAGAAAGTGAATCTGGAAATATCCAAAGTGACTGCAGTGTGTAAAAGTGATCGTCAGATTTAAGTGTTAACTATGTATTTTTTCCAGAAGAAAACAAACATCAAATGTATAAGATGCTAGTTCATTTCAGAGCAAAAGCAATGAAAATTAGAATTTTTATTTTAATGACTCTACTGTATACGTATATAATCATAATATACAAATAAATGAAAATGATCACATACAGAAGATATGCATGTTTCATAAATCAGATCTAATATCATATAAAACATAGCAAGTCATTCATTTTAGAGGAGTTCTATGGTTATTTCTGAGATTAAGAGATAAAAGTTGCTGCAAAGTAGAGAATTCTCTTTTGGAATGCCTGAGTGGTTCAACAGTTGAGCGCCTGCCTTTGGCTCAGGGCATGATCCCAGATTCCGGGGTTCGAGTCCCATATCAGGCTCCTTGCATGGAGCCTGCTTCTCCCTCTGCCGTGTCTCTCATGAATAAATAAAATATTTTAAAAAGAGAGAGAGAGAGAATTCTCATTTATAGGAAAAAGCCACATAGAAAATAATGTAATGTACACTAGGTATACTATATAAGACTGATGAATCACTGACCTCTACCTCTGAAGCTAATACATTATGTTAATTAACTTAATTAAAATAATAAAGGAGGAAAAGTTTTTAAAAGAAAAGAATTTCAGACAACTTCTTAACTCTTAAATGCAATTATCCTTATCATTTCCAAAGGACCAGTTTTGCTTATAAGAGGTAATACTTTTAGAGGAAATAAAGGCCAATAAGAAAACTAGAAATTAAAAGCAATAATGTTATTCATACTGATTACCCAGCACCTATTAATTGGCTGCATACAAAAAATGCAGTATTTCCTCAAATTAGTATATATCAAGTCAAACATTTTTCCATGACACTTATGAGCCCATTTTCAATTTAGAAAATTTTAACTATTTCTTTTTAAAATAAATTACCTCTCATCCCCACACTTCCTCCCCCAAACTTCAGTTCCAGACTTACTGTGAGTGAATATGTATCCAGTTACAATCAAATTCTTCTGAAATACTACTGAAATCTGTCTCAATGAACAGCTTCTTAGCTTAATGTATTTTAAATGACCTAAGAAATGAAGTCTTTATGTAGGAGGAGCTCTGGTTTATCCATGGAATGTACTGTCATGAGAAAATTTGCATTCAAAGCAGGTCAGCATTCAAGGTTATATTTGTCAAAAGATTCAGAGGAAATCACAAGTTCATCAGAGTGATTTTCTTTCCCTTTTAATTAGTTCCTGATATGGCATTTTCAGTATGCCAATGTTATTTTACTATGTGACTCATCACATTGGGAATTAAAAGAAAATCCAAAGGTAAGTATGTGAATGCCAGGTCTACGCTGTTTCTTCAGAGTGTACTATCCAAAGTACTTCACTGTTTTGAGTTTCAAATACCTTAAGTATGAAAAAGAGTCATAAATTGATAGGGAATCTGGAAACCTGGGTTCTACTTTAGGTTTTCCCTCCCACAATCAGCTAGGTAGCCTTGGGCAATTTCCTTAAATTCTTTAGGCCTCAGTTTCAAAACATTTATTAAATGGAACTTCAGAAGTCATCTAGTCTAACCTTCAATTCTAAGCAAAAATTGCCTCTGCATTTCACCTAATAGATGGTCAGTTTCTCATATGTAAAATTAGCAGCTAGAACTAAATGATGTCTTAAGTTTCTGATTTCTAAAATCCTTAGTGTTGGAACGCCTGGGTGGTTCAGGCGGTTGGGTGTCTGCCTTCTGCTCAAGGCTTGATCCTGGAGTCCGGGGATCGAGTCCTGAATCAGGCTCCCTGCACAGGGCCTGCTTTCTCCCTCTGCCTGTGTCTCTGCCTGCCTCTCTCTGTCTCTCATGAATAAATAAATAAAATCTTTTTAAAAAATAAATAAATAAATAAAATCCTTAGTGTTGGGAGGGTCGGCAAAAAAAAAAAATAATAATAATAAAATAAAATACTTAGTGTTGTAATTAAAATTCAGTCATTGTCATGTATGTGGGGTTTTTTTTTCCGTTGACAGTTTATCAAATATATCATTACATAATGAAACAAGATTTTATTTCAGCCCAGGTAAAAGTAAATAAAGAAATTTAAATCACCATCAAATTGCCCCTCAATATTCAAGTCTCTGCAGGGTAGTCTCCATGTCCAGGAACCATGCAAAGCCATAAGAAGCTGGAACACTCTGGATGCTTTTCTAAAGTATATGACATGGTGTCAGGTACTTATTCCAAAATACAAGTAAATTGAGATTGAATCCAGTCTATATATCACCTAATATTCCACTGGTTAAAAAGCATCTTCCTCAGTTCAAAACACAGGTACAGACTTGATAAATTCTCTCAGATACCAAAGATACATTTTACAATTAATATGTGAACAAACAAATAAAAGGCAAGGGGTCTAAATGAAGAGAAGACCCTGGATACAGCCTTCTATTCTTTTTTCTAAAGATTTTATTTATTTATTCATGAGAGACACAGAGAGAGAGAGAGAGAGGCAGAGACACAGGCAAAGGGAGAAGCAGGCTCCACACAAGGAGCCCAATGCGGGACTTGATCCTGGGACCCCAGGATCACACCCTGGGCCCAAGGCAGGTGCCAAACTACTGAGCCACCCAGGCGTCCCCAGGCTTCTCTTCATTACTAACTTTATCTTTAATTCTAAGATTTTTAAAAATTTTTTATTCACTGCATAGTTGATCCTTCACCCTAAATTGAAATCGTCAGGTGGGAAGAAATTGAGCATTGTTTAGAGAGTTTGGTATCTGCTTTTCAGATGTGAGCTAGTTGGTTTGTTTCACAATTATTTTTTCAAAAATTATTTATCAGACCTACATGAGAAATATTCTAATCAGAATTTGCTGACATGATGGTAAGAAAAATAGATTCAAAATCTTCTTTCCTTTTCCTGTGATTGCAATTTCAATTAACTTATTTATCTTCTTCTATTCAAAAAATTCTCTATGAAGTTTTATTCAAGCTTCCTGTTTTCCCCAAATCTCCTGGCTCTTGCAAACATTTCATTATACTATATTTTATAGTTTTAACAGAGAGTTACAATTAAAAGAAATACATATATAATCATATATTGGAATGATACAGTGCATTTATTTATAGGCTTGCAAACCATAAGCTAAATATAGTTAATACAATTGGGAAAAGTTTTTAAAAATAAAATAAAATACAGTTGGAAGCAATAGTGCACCATGCCTCAGATACTAAGTTTCATTAAATAGGAACTTCCACCCTGATTTTATAGCTTAATCAGTAAAAGCATGGCTAAGCTTTGCTTCATGGTGTGAAGAAAAAGACATTAAAAGATAATTTCGGGTGCCTGGGTGGCTCATTTGGTTAAGAGTCTGCCTCTTAATTTTAGTTCAGGTCATGATCTCAGAGTCTTGAGATTGAGTCCCACATCAGGCTCAGAGCTCAGCGAGAAATCTGCTTGTCCCTCTCGCTCCCCCTTACCCCTCACCCCCTGCTTGCCACGCTCTCTCTTTTGTAAAATAAATACTCTCTTTTAAAAAAGAATTCATTTTAATATACCAAAAATCCTATTTGATGGCTTTCTACTGATATCAGTAGAAGTTGCCAAAGGTAATTGTGTGCTTGTACCTTAGCACTCATTACTCTGCCCCAAATATAAGGCATGTTGCAACCCCTAATAAAGAGAATTTGGGAGTAAACCTTATTGGCACAGAGAAAGGAGGCTAGATAAAACTAATTGGAGCAGTCCCTCCCTAGCTGGAAGTTAGTCCCAAATCAAGAGTGTAAACCAACATTTGATGCAGGTCAGGGTAAGTGTCACCTAGGGCGTAGTGAAGAGGTACATCAAAGCCTCAGGGTAGGGAAGTTCTTCAGGACACTTGGGATCAAGTCACTCTTCTGGGAGAATTGGTTCTGCAAGTAATCAACAGTCAGTTCTGGAAGGGGACCAACAGAAACTAGGGAAACCGATTTAGGCCTGGGCCGTAATTTCAGCAGAGACAGAGAACTGAGTTTCCATATGGGAGCCAAAGTCCAATTAAACAGCCAACAGCAGATGGTGGGGTAAGAAACAAAGGCTTAAGTCTGATGCTTACAAAGTTTCCCAGGGACCCAAATCAATTCCAGAGGCACAGCACACACTAGGCTATTTCCAGATTTCTACCTGCTAAAAGAGAATAGCTCTCATTGGGGCAGAGCTGTGTAGGCATTGAGACTTCCTAGGCTGACACCATGAAGTGAAACTAGGACACATACCAAGGTACACAAGTACAATTCCTGGACTTTCCAGCAGGAACATATAGTACTTTATTATCCTCCTGAGATAGCTAAACAGATAACTATTTCAGTTTTACAAATGGATATCACTCAAGTTTCAATAGGTTGTTACTTTCCAAAAGTCAAAAATTCAAGAGAAATAAAATCTAGGTGGGCCTGATACCTAGCCCAGTGCTTATGCTCTTCCTGCAGAGTCATACTACTGCTAGAATTCTCTTTGATATCTCAGTAGCTGAACTAGTTGACTAGCAGGAATCATGATACCTCTTTCACTATGCAAAGCTATAGCTCCTATTCTGTTGACCATCAAAACAGGAAATGAGTATTCCTGAACTGCTGCTCAAATGAAGTAATCAGCAAAGTCAGTATTTAGTGCCTCAAAGTGTTATTTCCTTTGTAAGTTTCAAGGATACTAAATAAGCAAAAACAAGAAAAATAAATATTTAAAAAGTAAAAATAACTGCTGACTATTTGGTTTATAGGTACAGGTGCACATACACACAGAGCTCTTAACAAAATTACTAGATTTGAGGACAGTTTTTAAACATTCAGGCAAATGTCAAACTTATAATGTTCTGAGAGGCTTTTTTCACATATCACCCCCAAAAACCTGACCTGAAAAGTTATTTGGTAGACTTGGCATATTGTACAGAAAAGCAGTGTCTTATAAAGAACACACTCTGAGACAGAAGGCATCTAGACTGCCTGCTTTCCCTGAATTCCAGTCTTTTTATACTGAAGCCAACTAATTTATGAATCCTGAATTCCCCTCCACACTACCATAGATTCAACAGAATACCAGAGTTTAGATTCTCAGGAAACCCACGAGTTGAGAAATACAGTTAGCAACATCATGATCCAGTACCCACATTAACACCAAATAGACTTAAACACAGACCCACAGACCACAGAGGTCAGCAGCACCAGACTCTACTTTCTATTAACTTACATTCATTCAACCTTTATACAGCAACGATGTGCCAAACACTGTGCTAGATGCTGAGGGTACAAAGATGAGTTAAATACTATCTCATGTAGCTCAATGCTAGTTAGAGTGGGAAAAACTATAGAAACTACTGAATAATTACAGTGCAGTGTGATAAGAACAGCATACTATAACAGAATCCATAGAATCATTGGCAGCTAAGGAGCTCAGACAAGAGAACTCATTCTACCTGCTTTGTGATGAAAAGGGTATCTTCTGGCAGAAATCGCTTTGGTGGTCATTCTTGCTCCTGATGTCAAATTGTGATATAATAAATAAACATATTTGGTCTTTGTCTTCAGTTCCTGGCACAGAGCTCCTAAAACCCTTAGAAATTCCTGAATGACAGAGGTGTCTTTTGTTATTCATAATGAGCCCCTTTCATCCCTACCTGAGCTTATGCTAATGAGGCGACTATTGGGGAGCCCCTAGATAGCTTCAGGATGAAGGTCAGTTGCCAGAGGAATCAACCACGTGATTAGAGGGTAGGAACTATCAGCCCCATCTCCCAATCCCCCACTTCCATCCCCACACCTGAACTTCTGAGAGGGAAGAAGAACTAGAAGTTGAGTTCAATCACCAATGGCAAACGACTTAATAAGCTAGGATGGACCTAAGGTAGCCATTCTAGCAGGAATATACTATCATTGGCCATTCTAGCAGGAATATAGGTATTACTTTATTTTATCCATTTATCTCCCTGAGATAGCTAAGAAGATACTATTTCAGTTTTACAAGTGGATATCATTCAAGTCTCAATAGGTTAAGTTACTTTCCAGAAGTCAAAAATTCAAGAGAAATAAAATCTAGGTGGCCCTGG